TATTTTACCATGAGTATTATATCCGAGTCTGGCTGAAATGTGTTGCCAGTTTGTGATATTATTGTTTTTAAATATTAATATAATAAAAGTTTAACTTATTATATAATTAATAATAAGATATGAATTATATTACTATAGATATTAGTCTATTACTTATATAAAACAGATATATTATTTAAAAACCTTTAAGCAAAAAAATTTGAGGAAATAAATTCAGAATTTTTGTTTTGGTCACTGTAAATAGTAATATAAAGAAATTGTTTAGGATTTGTTAAGAATGTTGGTTGAAAAAAGAACTGTTTAAAGGTTGTTACTAGCAAAAGAAAGATTTAAGCAGAAAGGTGATTCCTAGGAGAGAATTTTTTTTTATTAATTATTCAATTATTTTTATTTTTATTAAATATTTGATATAAAAAATTTGCTAAAAATTTTTTTTCAACTGATTTATTTTAATTTATTTTAATAATTAAAAAAATTTTAAAAATTGTCATTCCTTCTAAGCTATCTTATACAAAAAATATCTAGATTTTTAACATCAAATTTATAATTTATAAAAGTAGGTCAATGACTTTTTATTTTGATTGTATATAGTATTTTTGTGGATTTTTTGAGCATATCTATGTTAATTAAGTAAAATGCTTACTTATATAAAAAAAATCCGTAAGTTCTTTTAAATTATTTTGATATTGTATATTGAATCGAATTTATTAATTTGAATATACTTTAATTAAAAAATCTGTAAAATTGAATTTTTGAAGAATGTTTTCTATATACTGTATAAGTTGTACTAATCTATTAATTAAATATTTTTTTTTTCGAAAAAATTTGATAAGTGAGAAAGTCTCCTAGATATTGTATTTCTATTAAAATTTTTGCTAATAGAGTACACATGTTAGCTTTTTTATTTGAATGGAATTTCTTGGGAAAGAAAATATAATTTAAGATTGTAATGAGGTGAGGGTCATGTTTTTGATAAGGTTAATTTTTAAAAAAGAAATTTAAATTTATACATATTAAAAGGATATTTATCAGAATATCTCGTTTTATATCTGGATCCAAGCCCTATTATTTTCTGTTTAGCGCAAAGCTGTACCTAATGCAGATTCTGCAACCACAAATTTTTGCACACAATTAAATTATTGTTTTTTGGGATGCAAGATTCCGCATTAACAAAGTTCACAACTCCAAAAAACGTACGATTTCCGCACTTTCGGTGTACATGACTCAAAAAAATGCAGTATCACAAACTTTCGGAGTGCACGACTCCGAAAAATACATTATAAATATGATTGTATGTAATAATAAAAAACACAAACACAATGGGATGGATTGATCCTCGCGAGATTCAACTCGGTGGAAAATTAGGTCGTGGTTCTTTTAAAACCATTTATTATGGAACTTATGAAAATAAACCAGTTGCTGTTGGGATGTTAAATTATGACGTTAGTCAAAGTGATTTTGAACGTGAAATTTACTTTCTTAAGATCTTAAACCATAAAAACATTATAGATTTTGTTGGGATATGCTATCATAATAGGAGATGTTGTATCATAACTGAATATTGTGATCACAAAAGTTTACTAGATTTTATGAAAAAAAATAATGGTACTGGTTTAAAGGTAATTTATTTTATCTAAATGTCGAGTATTTTTAGGGGAAGCGTCAGTAGTAACGATATATTTCAGGCATGCACCTGAATTATCTCTTAATTTATTATTAATCATTTTATTTTATAGTTGAAGATAACGAAAAATGTTGCCGATGGTATTAAGTATTTGCATGCAAAAGGAATTATTCATAAGGCAAATATTCATATTCAAGGAAATGTCTATTTCAATAGAATAATTATTTTCAATATTTATTAGGATTTGAAATCAGATAATATTTTGATAAAATCAAGTAATACGGAGTGTATTACTGCAAAAATTTCTGATTTTGGAGTTGCAAGAATATCACATATTGAAGCGATGATGTCTACAAGAGGAGCTCCTAATTGGAAAGCCCCAGAAATATTAGCTCGTCATGTTGCGCATTACAATGAAAAGGTGAAAATTAAAATATAATTTATTTATTGAATTAAAATATAAATTAAACATAAGTCTATTAATAGATCGATATTTATTCGGCTGGACTTGTCTTCTGGGAAATTTTTACTTGGGGAAAGGAAGGATTTCCTTATTCAAATTTTGTGACTAATAATGAAAACGATCTTTACAGATTGGTTATACAAGGTAATCGACCATCTATAGATCCTTTGATAAGAAATAACATAGGAAGTTCTATAATTAACTTAATACAAAGTATGTGGAGAACTGAACCAGAAAGAAGGCCGAGTATAGGAAGCATAGTGACGACTTTATCCACGCTTCGTAGTAATAATACTAGGAGATAGAAATTTAATTATAATTTAGTTATATCTTTATTAATTTCCTTTTTAATTTTATTTTTAGTATATGAATAAATATATATTTAAGTTGAACTAATAAAATAATTGTTGCGTAAAGGTGTGAGGAAGGTTTAAGCAAATCATTAGCTTGTATAAATTTAGGCTACAGTTGTATTTATTTTCCATATGTCAACATTTTATGAAACATTGTTGTTTTCTTATAGCTGAATAATTATTTTTTGAAGGACGTAAAGTTTTCGGACCTTAGTATTATCACCCCGAAAATATCTCTAGAGATGTCCAGCTTATAGTTGCTGTCAAAATTATAATCGACAAAAATTAAGGATTTGGACAAATGCCTTATTGTGAAAAATAATTTATGTTATCCTTAATGTCATTAAAAATTAAATTGGCAAAAATTTAAGATTTTAACAAATGCCTTATTGCGAAAAATAATTTTTATTATCCTTAATATAGATAAAAATTTAATAAATAAAGTTTTATAATTTTGACATATGTCTTATTATATAAAATGGTTTTTAAATTAAATTTCAAATATATATTTAATATATAAATAAAATTATTTAATTTATTGAATACTTTAAATTCTAATTATTTAAAACATATACTTATATTAATTCATTAACTGAATTTTCTACATTAAATGAATTATTACCATGATTAATTTCTTCTTTTTGCAAAATATTGTTATCTTTGCTATTATTTTCATTAAAATCCAATATATTTAAATTTATAATAGATGCTATTTCTAATTCATTATTATAATTATTTGTTGATTTTTTTACTAAATTTTTTATTAAATCTTCATTGTCATCAAAGTTTTCTTTATTGGAATCAAAAAAATCACTATTATTAAGCATTGCTTCAGTAATTTCATTAATTGTTTCTTGTAAATTGGCTTCAGATATATTTCTTGAAGAAAATTTTAATTGGGATTTTGCATTAACTATATAATAAGAGTGTATTTGTGCCATAGATTGTAATTACAAAATAAACAATCGAATATAATAATAATTTTTTTTTAATGTCAAGTGAGGCATTTCTCGTGATCTTTATTAATAGAGTAATTGAACTATTACATGATTAATATTAAGATACTAAGATATATCATTATATATGTCAGCCTACTACTATTCTAAGTATATTTCTATTAAAAAAATCTTGAGGCAAGAAAAAGAAAAAGTAACTACTTAGTTTGGGGAATAATGCCTCCCTAATAATTTATTTTATCCTGTATAGGCATGAATAAGTTTTGGGAAAATAATTGAAGAATGATATTAATTAGTTTGTCATTTTGATTTGTATTGTTGGGTGTGGAATTGCTCAGAGTTGTTTGTTGTTGTTAGGGTTGATGTTTTTTGTTTTTTTCTGTGTTGTGGGGTTTGTTATTATTGTTGTTATTGTTGTTGTTGTTTTTTTTGTATTTGGTGTTTTGTGATGTGTCTAGGAATTTTTCTTCTGCAATCATCTCCTAATTTCTGGGTATTCATATTTGTGTGTATAGTAGTTCAAGTGTTTTGTTTTGAATTTTGTTGATGTTTTTGAGATCAGTTTATGTTGGTTTGAGATTTTTGAAGATTGTATTTGGTTGTAGGTTGCCCATTGCAAAGTTAACAGTATTAATGTTAATGTTTAATAGTTTTTGGATTTGTTTTTCATCAAAATTTTTGTTGTTTTTGAATTTTTTTCCCAATAGTATTTGCATGTCATTAATTATTTTTTTGAGTGTTGTTAAGCTCTTTTTGCAGGTCCAAAGATAATGAGTTGTTTCTGGATTTGTATTGCATCATGGACATAGATCGTTGATGTATATGTTTGGGGATGTTATGTGAAGGTGTGCTTTTGTAGGAAGAGTATTGGAAAAAATTTTGAGATGGAAATTGTACAGTTTGGATTGGTATTGTATGATTGGAATGGATATGTTTTTGAGAAATAAATATTAGAGTTTGTGCAAGAAGTGATAAGTCGGATTTAAAAGTTGTTTTTGCTCTTTCTGAATGAATTATTTCTATTAAATGTTGTATTTTTTGATTTGCTTGAGATAATTTCTAGTTGAAGGTAGAGAATTTTTTTGTGTATTTGTTAATGTGAATTGAATAGAAAAGGTGTTAATGATGTTTATTTGGGGTATGATAGTATTAGTGGATTGTATTTTGAGTATTTTTATGGTGGGTTTATAGAAAGATAGATGAATTTGGAGAGTTTGCATTATATTGTGAATGTTTGTGATTGTTAAGAAGTAAGAAAACTTGTATTTTTTCCTATGATTGGATGGTGGTGGTGCGAAAGTTTTGCTATTAATTTTGAGGCATTTGGAAAAGATTATGATGTCTTTTACTTTGTTGGTAAGTAGTATTATTATAATTGTGTGAAGTAAAGCTGGGAATGGTTGTAGGTTAAAGTGTGTGGTGAATGATTGATAATACTGGACATAGTTCCAAGTAACTGTTGTAGTGTTAGTGTTAAGTTTGAATGTTAATAGGATTTTCAGTGAAGAGTCCTGAAAGTTAAGGAGGTCTTCGATGGTTTTTAGGGATGTGGTAGAGAAGTGTTTGTTTTTAAGTGAGTCAAGTAGATTTGAAAGAATGGTTATTTGTGGATTGTTTATGATTATTTTGGTTTGTAGGGAGTTGTGAAGATTGTTTTTTGTTATTTTTGTTTTGAGTATGTTGTTTGTAACTGGTTTGGTAAATAGGTTGAGACAGTTGTATGGGATGAGTAGTTTGCATTTGTGTGTGTTGGGGTAGATGTTAAGAGGACATTCATTACATTTTGAAAGTATTAAAGATTTGTTGGGGTCATGATCATTGTATGTCCAGTGTTTGATTAGTAAGTTGTTTTTATTTGTTTTTTGTTTTTTGCCAACGATTATGTTGTTGTTAATGAGAGTTGCTATCCATTTTCTTTTTTGTTTGATTGAGTAGGGGTTGTTCCTGTTTGGTTGAATTGTAGTTGCGAGAGAGTATTGTACCAAAGAGGAGTTTTTCCTTGAGTATTGTGTCCTAGCCTGGCTGAAATGTGTTGCCAGCTTGTAATTTTGTTGTCATTGAAGTTGAGGAGCTATTTGATATAAAATAAGTTTTTGTTGACAAGTTGTTTGGCGAATGTTTTCCAGTTTTTGTATTGGGAGAGATAATAGTGTATAGGAGTTATTCCTCTTGGAAGTTTGTGTTGACAGTTAGATTCTGAGCAGAATATTATTTTGTAGTGTCGGGCTAGAAAAATGGTATATGTTGTAGTGTTGTGTTTTATAATTTAGTGGTTTTGAAAGATATAGAAAGGTTGGCAGTTAGAATTTTGGATTGCTAGGATTTCTGTTTCTTTGATTGGTTTGGTAATAGGACTTGTTAATGAGTACTGAAGATTGGAGATGAGGACTTCATTTTGTAGATCGTTGATTGGTTTAATGTTAAAGATATATGGGTTATAGAATCATGTTTGAGGAAGTGTTTTCTTGATGTTGAATTTGTATTTGATTATTGAATCGATTTTTCTTTGGATGTTTTTGAGCATGTTTGGTGTGAGGAAAGTTGTTTTAAGTTTGAATTCTACTCGTGGAAGAAGTATTTTGTTATAGATGTAAGTTGCCATATAGCCTGTTGTAAATTTGAATTTTAGTTCTTGTGCTATTGTTTCGGTATCTTCTATTTTTTTGTTGTAGTTGGGGGTAAGAATGCTGTGTTCGGATAACCAGATGCCTAGTATTCATATTGGTTCTTTTTAGTAATTGAAATATTTTGTTTAAATATATTTTGTTTTAATATTGGAGTGATAGTGGTTATACCTTGGTGTATTTGTTTGTTGGGAGTTTTAGAGTTCATTGTGATTAGTTTAGTTTTGGTGGGGTTTGCTATGATGTCATTGAGTTGAAAGAATTCAGTTGCTATGTTAAGATTGTTTTGTAGTCCTTCTTTGAATGTTGCAAACAAATTGAGATCGTCCATATATGCAATGGTGTTGTGTTTAAGTTGTGATAGTTGTTGTGTTAGTGCTATTATTAGAGAGTCATAAAAAATAATCCACCAGAGTGATAAGAGAGTTTTTCCTTGGTCAATTCCATTAGGGATGGTAATATGTTGTGTGAGACTATGGTCTGTGATTATTTGGCAAGTGTGGTTTGTGAGTATGTTGCTGGATAAAATGATAAATGTGTCAGGAATGTGGAGTCTGTACATTGATTTTTTGAGCATGTTGAGATTGACAGAGTTGAAGGCTGCACTTATATCTAGTGAAAGAATCTAAAGTTCTTGTTGTGTGAGCTTTTTGATATTGTAAATTGAGTTGAGTATTTGTATGGGTTCAAATATGCTTTGGTTTGGAAGGCCTGTATAGTTGGATTTTTGTAGTATATTGTTTTTGAATAGTATGAAACTGAGCCTTTTTGTTAATATCTTTGTTAGTATTTTTTGAAGGAATCGATGAGAGCTATGGGATGAGTCTCTTGGATATTGAATTTCTATTGAAGTTTTTTGCTAATGGAATAAATGTAATAGTTTTTCCATTCTGTTGGTATTTCTTAAGAGGTTAGGATTTGGTTAAAAATTGTTTGTAAGTATGGTAGAAAAGTTTTTTGTGTTTGTTTTATGAAGGTGTATGTGATTTCAAATGGTTCAGGAGCTTTGTTGTTTGGAAGGGAGTTTATTGTTTCAGCTATTTTATATTCAATGATTGGGTTCATTAGAGTATTGTATATTGTTGGGTTGGTGTTGTATATAGGGGTATAGTATTTGTTCCATTTGGATAAAAGTTCATTATCAATTGTTCTCTTGCGAAAAATATTTTTTAATAGTGGTTTGTTATTGTTTGGTGAATTTGTTATGGATCTGTAATTATTTCTTGTTTGATAGGATTGATGATTTTGATAAATGATGCTTTTGGTTTTTTGTGGTTGAGAGTTTGCTAAATCATTATTTTTGGGTTTTATTTTAGGTTTAGAATGTGTTGGTTGATGATTTTGGTTATGGT